TGCTTCCATATAAACTACAGGAGAGCTTTGCACATTGATTGGCTCTATTTCTCTTGGAGTGCAAAGAGAAGCCAATTTTGCTTACATACAGAACCGAGGCGTGAATATGGAAATGTACCCTTCTCTGGCACTAAACACTGAACACAAGACCACTGAGTCTTCCATTTTCTCCTTTAGGACAACAGAGCGTGTTTCCCATGTTATGGTATGCAGCTGGGACAGTCATGGTGATGCACAGACATCAGATAACTTTTGTTGTTTGGACTATGTAAAGGATAAATCATCCCAGGAAATAAAAGTATCTTGAGATTAATTATGTAATATCATGGAAGGTCAAAGCCTTTCTGTTTAGTACAAATGTTTCTATCAATGAATCTCAGAATTACATGAAACTTATAACTGAGAAAGGGTTGTGGGCCATGGTATACAGGAAGCTCAAATGTCCACATATGGGAAAAAAAATCTCATTCAATATCCTGTTTGTTTTTAAATGTGTTGATTTCTGCTGCTTTTTAATAAAAGATAACCATAAATTTAAGCAGGACAAAAGGGATGGGTTTATGATGCTATGAATGGAACCTGTTTTATTTTCCACTAAAATCTTTCTATATGGAGGTAAATGAAATGATAATCTCTTCCTCCATAAACAAGTGATCAATAATTTTCTAGGAAAACTTTCTATTTGCCTATCTATAGATGAAAGGCTAAGTGACCAACTGTCCATTCATATGACCACTGGCAATTTAAAAATAACATTGATGTGTGCATGTGTAATACATATAAAGCTCACACTGGTGCCAATCGAACACGTTGTGTTTTGATCTGTTATTATTGATCATGAATTTTGCTATTTTTGTTGACATTCTAAAGATGAAAGAAAGCGGCATTGTCAACTAATTCTTTTTCTTTTAAATATATTTTAATTTATTCATTTATTCTGAGTAGGTGAGGGGATAAAAAGCTGTGGATCATTTACACCATGAAATTCTATGCAGCAGTAAAAAAAAAAAAAAGGATCTTTTACCCTTTGAGACAGCATGGAGGGACCTGAGAGTATCATAGATGCTAAGTGAGATAAGCCAGTCAGAGAAAGACAAGTATCAAGTATCACAGGATCTCACTCATGTGTGGAATTGAATGAACAAAACAAACTGATGAACAGAGTGGATCCTGAGACATAAAAGCATGGAACAGAGAGCAGAATCTCAGAGGGAAGGCTGAGATGGTGAGTGAGTGGGTGGGAGGTAGTCAACCAAAGACCTTATATGCATATATGCATAACCCATGGATGCAGACAGTGGCATGGTGAGGGCCTGGGGTGTGGGTGGGATTGGACTGACAGGGGAAGGGGAAGGAACATATGTAATAGTTTCAACAATAAAGATTTTAAAAAAATAAAGCTGATTGAAATGTGACCATTTCCACATTAAAGGGAGGAATGTAAGCCAAGATCATTATTTGGGGCCCTGTCCTCGCCAGCAGGGAACACACTGGACTCACAAGAAAGACAGTGTAATTGTGACACATGACTGAGCCCTGGATAGAGCGACATTTACACAACCACCGCCATTCATGTGACATTTTATTGGTTTTCCACGTTTTAAATCAACCTACAGGCAGCACATGGAGAAAGTGCAGCCACTCACAGGACAGAAATCATACCAACTTGGTAACGTAAAAATGCAGGGGTGACAGAATCTAGCGGGCACTCTGGGAAGAATTGAGGAGAGTAGAAGGGTGTGACCAGAATGGAGAAATGGGGTGATGGAACTTAAAGCAGTTGGAGTAAAATACAGGAATTTCAGTGCATTTTAAGATGATTATATGCAAGAATAATGCACACTAACCTGACTCCCCAACCTCTGTGCAGGATGGGAGGGCAGCCACTGCTGTGGCAATGAGCCACACCTGCCTTTCTGGCGACAGGGAGTCAGATGCTTTTGAAAGTACATGAGCCCAAATGACCTCAGAGACTAATTCCAGGGATTTCTCATTAATTATACAAAATTCTTTAAATAACTTGTAACTGCTGGTGTTTAAAACAGTTTAATGGCAACAACAAATCTGAACGAACATTCTGAGAACAGATCATTAATTGCAATGTAGATGTCAGACTGTGACATGGGGTTAGAGTAGTCAGCGTTGTGTGGTTGCAGAAAGCAGTCCATTTTAATATGGCTGAGATCTGTGCTACACCAAGTATGTGGACAGCTATGACGATAACTGGATATTCCTATCCAGGAGACAAGTCTTTGTTACATTCTTAAAGTCCTCATTTGGGGTCAGAGAGATGAAAAGCTATCCTACATGTTTATATACCACTAGAGGCCAGGTGCACAAAATTTGTTCACGGGGGGGGGGGGGGGTTCTCAGTCCATCCTACACCCTCTCTAATCCGAGACCCCTCAGGGGATGTCCTACTGCCGGTTTAGGCCCGATCCCTGCGGGATGGGCAGTAGGACATCCTTCTCACAATCTGGGACCACTGGCTCCTAAAAGCTCACCTACTTGCCTGCCTGATCACCCCTAACTGCCCCCCCCCCCAATGGCCTGGTCACCCCTAACTGTACCCTGCTGGCCTAATCACTCCTAACTCTCCAACCCTGTAGGCCACCCCTTACTGTCCCCCCTGCCAGTCTGATCACCCCCAACTACCCCCCACCAGCCTGGTCACCCTTCATTACCCCCTATGCTGGCCTGGTCATCCCTAACTGCCTGCTGTTCAGTCATTTGGTCACCCCTCACTAACCCCCCTACCGGCCTGGTCGCCCCACACATCCTGTTCTGTTGCGATGGTCACCTAGGCTTTTATATATATAGATGTGGGCATCTAGAAGTCCATTCAAAGCAGGCGAGAGTGGTTCTCTGACCTGGTACCCAAGTCCTGTTCCTTACAAGCATGTGATCTTGGGCAAGTACTTAAGCTTCTAGGATCTTGATTTCTCCCAGTGTAAACACAGAAATACAAAGTGCTTAAGTACCTGGATCACAACACGTTCCTTCAGAATTTCAATGCAGATGTTTCTTGAATTCATAAAGCCATTTGGGTACTTTTATTGGTTAATTAAGAATATTTTTCTTAATAATTAAAAGGAAATAATGGGTTTAAGAAATCTCAAAGCAAATGGCTTTAGTCCATTTCGTTCTACTCCAAACCCCATCGGATCACACTTCCAAAATTCCTACTTAATCTCTTTATATATAACATACATTTTATCATGCAAAATGAGTTTAGGTAGTAGCTCTTGAAATACCTCAGGAAAATTTCAATGACACCTGTATGCCAGGGCTACCTTCCTGGATTAGGTACAAAGCAGCACATTGTTATATCTGAGGTGAATATTTCAGACAAGGCTGATCATTGTCCAGCCTTCTCACTGTATTACCAAGTCTGACCTGTACATAAATATGGCAGTTTTATAATAAGGAAAATTATATTGAAGGAAACAGGATTCTCTCCTGGTCATGAAGAATTGGTGGAGAGTTTATGAACCTGTAACATTCCATCCCTGCCACCCTTTGGGGGCACATCCTGTCTGAGCCTGGCTTTGATGGATTAGAGTCTTGCAGTAACAACGTTCACTCCCCTGTCACCGGGCAACTAAAAACTGACTATCTGGACTCCTACTGTGATAAAAACACACACACACACACACACACACACACACACACACACACAAAAACAAAAAACAAAAAACAAACAAACAAACAAAAAACACACAACCACAGCTTTTCAGAATTCAGAAACATTCTAGCAACTAGAAGAACACAGCTCAAACGAAACTCAGAAATTTTTTTTCAAAGACGTGTTATATTCAAACACTGTTTTATAAACAACTTGGACTTTTCCCTGACACACACACTCCAACTCAAAATTCCAAGAGGAGGCTTTGGATTCAACAATGAAGGAGGAGGCTTTGGGGGACCATGTCAGTATGAAAGGGGTCCTGTCAGTTATGACCCTGGAAGCACCGACAGCCAGGACAGTCCCTGAGCACTCAGAGGCTGGACCTAATGATAACAAGAGAATTGGAGACGTTCTCTTGGCTGGTAGACCCATTAGGAGACATGAAGTATTGATGGCTGACATATGAATGCAGTCATCATTGCATTTTTATGTTTCCTCTAAAAATAACACATTCTAATGTTTACCCTAGCTATGATCTAATTATTTCATCTATTATAAATTATGACCAATTTTCCAGACCTGAAAATGGCCTCAGGAGAAAATCACTTGCCAATAGATGTCTTTGGATGCTGCCTGATGTGGTAGGACCACATCCTTGCCAAATGAGTAATCTTGAGTGTAATTCCGACAGCACCAACTCCACATATTCAAAAGGGAAGCATTATCTCCGCAAAGTTGAAAACTTACTAAAACTCAAGATTCCAAGGGAACAATTAATCCTGAGCGATCGTTCAAAAGTACTGAGTGATTAGTATGGAATTTGGTCTCAGTGCTGAAGAAAACTTGGAGGTATACCAAAATAATCTTTCTTTCAGTCTTCCACCAAATAGAACCCAAATAAGAAGGATGCTGAGACTGTCCACACAGCGGAGGGAAGGAGGTCTTTGATTTGTGAAGAATGTGGAAGGGGCCTGACCCAGAAACAGACTGAGTCCTCTGAGACTGAGAGAGAGGAGGGGTGGCCAGGACAAAGGGTGCTTGAACTCAATTGCCCTCTTGTAGGCTATGGTCAGAAGGTGAAAGTTCCTTGAAAGGGTGGGGCAGGAATCCTGTCTGAGATCTGAGGAATAATGACCCCAGTGATAACAATCCTTGGAAAAGCTCCGAGTGATCCCATTAGTGTGGAGGACTATGTGAATGGACAGTGCAGGCTGAGGCTATCTTGTGCCCAGACATCTTTTAAGTCAGCACTTACTCAAATAGTTACTGCAACAAACAGCTTCCAGACCTTGACCTTGGTCCCATGTGTATCTCCTGCTTTGTGCCCCAGGGCATGGGTCATGTTGGCACTCATATGGGGATAATTATGAAAAGTATGAGAGAGTTGTGAAATGAGGGGAGGAACCCTTGACCATTGGGAGACAGAAGTTACTGGATAAATAATCCGTCTTTCATGTTGACAATTCAGATGGCACAAAGATCCTCAGAAATACAAGACTGAACTCCACGACCCACCAGGGCGAGCAAATGGATCCTGGAACTGGTTTTCCTCTTTCTCCATTTCATGCCTTCCATGCTTTTCACATTTCCCGCAGCTTTTGATATCTTTGTACATGCTTCATTAACTTTCCACATAATCTTATTTTCCCCACATGACTTAGTTACACAATTCACCTCCTTATTGTATTCTCCTACCTACAGTAAGGTAGGGTTTTGTTTTCTTTTAATGCTGTTTGGTGAACATTCTGCTCACTCCCATCTTCAGCATAGGAATACCTATTTTTTCAGTGTTTTAGTTAATACAGAGCAGAGTCCGGGGCAAGTTTTTCTAACGGTACTAAGCCACTAGTTCTTCATCAACACTGACTCAACAAAATCATTTTAAAGGAACTATTATCTACACAAATAAAAGATAAACAGCTTAAACCAGTTTGGCTCAGTGGAAAGAGCATCAGCCTGCAGACTCAAGGGTCCAATGTTTGATTCTGGTCAGGGGCATGTACCTTGGTTGCAGGCACATCCCCAGTAGGGAGTGTGCGGGAGGCAGCTGATGAATGTTTCTCTCTCACTGATGTTTCTAACTCTCTATCCCTCTCCCTTCCTCTCTGTAAAATCGAAAAAATCTATTTTTTTTAAATAAAAGAGAAACATGCAAATTGACCATCCCTCTGTTACGCCCACCAGCCAATCAGGGTGAGCGTGCAAATCAATCCAACAAAGATGGGTTAATTTGCATATGCAGTTGGAGCAAATACTGAAGAAAGCATAGAAGGAAGCCAAGTGGTGCAGAAGGGAGCAAAGCAGCAGAGAAGGGAACGAGGCAGAGGAGGCATGAGGGAGCGAGGCAGCAGAGCAAGGCAGCTGTTTTGTTCTGGCCTCAGGAAGCCCTATTCTTGCAGGAATTTTCCTGCAATGGGACTCTAATATAATATAAATATGTAGATATGTGCATATATATGTTTGTATATATTCCTATACACTAATTAATGAAAATGAATGTGGTCTGTAGAGAAAACATAGCTTATTAACATTGAGGAAGTACAAATCAAAAATGTTTTTATTTTTTTATTTTTTAAAAATATATTTTTATTGATTTTTTTACAGAGAGGAAGGGAGAGAGATAGAGAGCTAGAAACGTCGATGAGAGAGAAACACCGACCAGCTGCCTCTTGCACACCCCCTACCGGGGATGTGCCCGCAACATGCCTCTGACCGGAATCGAACCTGGGACCTTTCAGTCCACAGACCGACGCTCTACCACTGAGCCAAACCGGTTTCGGCCAAAAATGTTTTTAGAATAATTACGTTGATCAAAAATTTTCCTTATTTGGAAGGCACATTAGCATCAAGACATAGTCACACTGATGGTCAAGTGAAGAAAATAAGATGAATTATTACTTATCACCCTAACATGTCAAAATCTTACTTTGAGAAAACTACCTCCATAATTACTTCTAAATTTAATTTCATACCAAAGACAAATTTCCTAAAAATTAAAGCTCGGAGGGCCATCTGACCCCTCTTATATGGCTTCTGTGTTAATTGTCAGAAGTCTCCCAGGAGCTCCCACCAGAAATCCTTTTGTCTCTACAACTTGAGCAAGGAGCAGGGAGTGCTAATGCAGTCATCTCAAAATGCTCCTCACTCCTTTTAGTTTTTCCACAGCTTTCCTGTCAGTAAAGATAAAGGGGTAAATTTTAAATTTGGGGTATGATATATCGTCACCAGGAAATTGCTTTGGAAATATCTATACTCCTAAAAATTGAAGGTAATCTGACTATTCTGAAATATTATAATTAATGGGGAAAAAAAACCTTGAAAATATATCTTACTTGAATGGGTACCAATTTTTAAACACTGGAAAGAGATAACGGAATTCTAAAAACAGGCCCAGTCATAAAAGAAATGCAGAAGAATGGTTAACCAAACACCATCCTAACGAAAACCCCTGTAGACAGATGGGAGCACACTCCTCATGGAAGTGCATTTGTTTGGTAACTGTGACTCTTAAAATGGATACCCCTCTGTCATTAAAAAAGGGTTGATCCTAGCCAGTGTGGTTCAGTGGTTGAGTGTCGAACTATGAACCAGGAGGTCATAGTCAGGGCACATGCCTGGTTTTCAGGCTCAATCCCCAGTCCTGGTGGGGGCATGTGCAGGAGGCAAACCAATCCATGTATTTCTATTTCTGTCTCCCCCTTCCCTTCCACTCTCCCTAAAAATCAGTGGGGAAATCTCAGCCGGTGAGGATTCACAAAACAAACAAAAAAAAAGTTTCTGCTTTGAACTCAGCACCACTGACTGGCTGACCTCCTCTCTCACTGCCTCCCCTACCCTCACGCAGGCCGCACTGCCCCTCCGCTGCTTCTCCCACATGCCTGACATCATCACACCGCAGGGTCTCTGCACAGGCTGCTTCCTCAGCCCGAACCTCTTCCCAAGAAAGTGTCTCCTTTAAGTGTTTGTTCAAATATCACACAAATAAGGTTTATCTCCCAATTTAAAAGGATAAACATCCTTCCCCCAACACCACATTCTTAACTCTCTCTTACCCATCTCTACTTGTTTTTTTTCAATTTCACTTATCATTTACTTAAATACTATATAATTGTCTCATTCATTAGGTCTATTTTTAGTCTTTTTCATCTGTTTTTGGTCTCCCCTGGCTAAGGGTAATCTCCAGGTGGAGGGGGTCTTTATCTCTTTTATTCACTAATATATCTCAGTTTTATTCATGGTACAGAGCAGGCACTCATGACCAATAAATATCTGCTGAATCAATGAATAGTGAGTGGATGAGTGAATCTCTCATCCTGAATCTTACTGGATATTAAGTATTGGTAGGTGTTGAGAAGAGGAATGACTCTCAACGGGAAACAAATGTTTTGAAAGTCAAGTTGTTCCAAGTCATTATCTTTGGAAATATCTACTCAATTGTCTACCCAATAAAAGAGTAACATGCTAATTGACCATACCTTTGTGATGCCCACCAGCCAATCATCAAGTATGCAAATTAGACCAACAAAGATGGGAACAAGGCAGGACACTTATGTCATCACCATGGTGACTTCGCAGGCATCCTGCACTCCTGCTCCGCCCCAGCTGCTCTGGGCCTCTGGGCAGCATGGAAAGGCAGAAAGGTGGCTCTGGGCAGGAGTGGAAAGGCAGCTGCCAGCAGCCAGGGGAAGGAAGGCCCATTCTTGCATGAATCTTCATGTATCAAGACTCTAGTTTTCTATAAAACTAAAGGACATTTTAAAAAATAATCCTTGAGAAGATAACCCGGAGAAGGCATGAGCCTATAGAAATTTTCCAAAGTACACTGAGTGCCCATCAGTACTTTGTTGAGCCACCTGTTGCCTTTAATACTGCAGCGATTCTTGGCACTGACTCCACGTGATGCTGAAAGGTGATGGGAGGAATCTGACACCGTGCCTGATGAACAGCGCTGTCCAGTTCGGTGAGAGTTGATGGTTGTAGAACCAGCAGCCCGAGGGCTCTTTTACCTTCGTCCCCCAAATGCTCAACTGGGTTGAGATTTGGTGATTGTGGGGGCCACCTAAGAAAGGTAAAGTCTCCCTCATGTTCTTGAAAACACTCCTGCACAATACGAACACCTTGGCATGGCGCATTGTCTTATTGGAAGAAGCCATCTCCATTGGGACACATCATCAACGTGACAGGATGAAATTGATCAGCAATGATACTTAGATATGTTGTACTATTCAGACGTTGCTCCACACGAATTAAAGGGCCCAAATCATGCCAGGAAATCTTGCCCCAAACCATAACACCGCCCCCACCAGCTTGAAGGGTTATACTCATGCATGTGGAGTGCATGCTTTCATGCTGTTTCTGCAAAATTCTCACTCTGCCATCTGCATGATGCAACTGGAAATGTGATTCATTAGACAACATAAGTTTTTTCCAATGTTCAACTGTCCAGAACTTGTGTTCTTGTGTGAATTGGAGACGTTTTATCTTGGTGACTGCAGACAGCAAAAGTGTTTGAGCAGGCCTTTGGCTTCCATATCCCATACCATGCAGTGTATGGCTAATTTGCCTACAAACGTCAGGTGGTCATAATAATCTGGCCACTCAGTGTATTTTAGATTGCAAGTTAGCAAACATATTTAAGACCACTGGCAAGGGAAAGAACCTCAGAGGAAACGGTGGAAGATGCTGGCATAGTGCTAACCAAATCCATTTCCTCTTTTTTTCTGAAGTTGAAGCTTGTTACTGAGATCATATGACTGAGGCCATGTTACTGAGTCCCAGCCAATAGCAAGTGCATTGCTTCAGAACCAGTCCTCCAACCGTCCTCCCTGTGCCTCGCCCGCTCTCTGCCCTGGCTGGATGCAGGTAAGAGGGTAACCCAGGAAGCCACCTGCTGATCACTGAGGAGCTAAAGGAAGGAGGAAGCCTTGGAAAGAGTTGCCTGCCATCATGAATAGCCATTTGGACAAGGATACTTTTCTTATTTGAAGTTACTGAGAATCTGCAGTTCAAGGACTATGGTAGCTACCACCACCTCAAACAAGATAAGCATGCTCCCATCGCCTTAAGTAGAAAATAATTTTCTTTCAGAGACGAACATTCTAGCACAGTTAAACATGTGGAACCCAGATGGGAATCTGAGAGCGCAGAAGATATAAAAGATGTTTTCCTTGCTATGCAAGATCACATATGGTGACAGCATCCACCAACGTCCCAGTAGGCCTCCTCTCGTCCTTAGCACTCAGCCAACATTTTTGTGATAGTAGGAAGGAACAGCTTGATTGTTTAAAAAACTTGTCTCAGAAAGGGATGAGAAAGGAAGTTTGTGGGTGAATTATGAAGGTCTTCATTGTACCATCATGGGATTATTGTTTAAGGCACATTCCTTCTTGGATTGGGTTTGTTTCTTTTTAGACAATTACTACTTAAGCTTAACCTCTAGAATTTAAGATGCTAAGTATTATATAAATCCACTCCATAAAGAAACCCTCAGTGATGTATTTTCAGGTACAATAAGTTTTAATAAGACCAGTGACTAACAAGTCTTCAATTTAATGAAAGGAGATTTTGAAAATAGTATGTTCCAAAAATAATACATGTGAAAATCTGGCTCATCTGGAGCTTCAGAAAAGTTCTAAGCATATAAATATTTTTCTAAAAAGTCATAAATTCACATATCTCAGAAGAGAAACATCTGTGAAACACAGTTATTTAATTCATGTTTGCTGGTGTGACACCAAAAAATGGTCAAGCAGCTTAAACTACCAGCTGCTTGTAAGCATATTAGAATGACACTCCTAACTGACACTTCCACCAAGAGACACTGCATCTGTTTGTCACCTAAAATAACTACAGCTCTTCAGAAAGCTGAGGATGAGTATTTTACATAGTGGCATACTAGGTGGTGACACTTGTCTTTCATTCCCCAGATTACATATCCTCATAATAGTTTACTTTTTCATATCATTGAACAGATAATTGGTTCCATAAAGAAGTAATGATTTAGATCAGCAAAAGCAATCACAAAAGAGAATGGCTCTGAGTCTGCAGAAGCAGATGCTGTCTCTGCCTGGAATGTTCATTCCTCTTCCCTTCTGTTCACAATCAGAAACTCAAACCCCACACTGGTAGTCACCCTTTTCCCTTCTTTACATGCAATCACTCCTTCTGTACTCCCTGAGCAGATAGCGTGTGCACTGATTTTAGCATTTACGTTCCTGAATTGTAGTCACTTACATTTCTGACTTCTCTAACCAATGGTAAATCCACATTTTCTTCTTCCCGTATATGCTGGCATTTAGAAGGTTCTCAATGGATATTTGTCAAAGCACGGTTTCTTTTTCCTCAGGAAAATCATTTTATGACATTAAACAAATTCAAGTATAAAATTAGAGCAGTCCAAATTGTACATTCCCATGTAATTAAAAGCATTTCTAAAAATAAGTACTTATTCATGACAACGTGTTAGTATAAAATTTAACAGCAAATGACTGGGGTTTAATATCTGAAGAATAAAAGCAGGTGAGAGAGTGGTACTGAATACATCAAAGAACGTGTCCATCTTTGGGACCAGAACCAATTGAAACACTCCCACAGTAGAAGCCAAAAGGAGGTGTCTGGAGCTTATAGAATCAGCAGCAAAAGCCACGAGTACCCATATGCCAAGAAATTAAGCAGAAACAATGAACAAGACGGGAGAAAGTATTTAATAGTGACCAGAGCAGTGGAGGCAAAGGGAGAGAAGGGCTGACCCAGCACAGAAGGGCGACTGCACTCAAGCGAAGATCGTGAACCTGCTGTTGAGAAAATGAGAGACTGAATGCTAATGTGGCACTTAATGCAGAAAGTCCTAGTTTCTTAATTCCCCTCACATCCTTAGAATTAACTCCCACCATCTAAACTGACCTTCAGCTGTAAGGGTACACAGAGGCTGAATGTACAGGGATGGATAAATGCATTTCATTCAAATAGAAAGAAACCAAAAGAGAGCAGGGAGCTAAAACTATAGTATATCAGATTAAACACACACACACACACACACACACACACACACAAAATTTAAGCCTACAATAGTAACAGGAGACAAAGAAGGTCATTATATAATAAGAAAGGGTTCAATTCATCAGGAACATAAAACATCAAATATGTCAATATCATAGCATATAAGGATCTGAATGGAAAAATGACAATAATATAATGATAACAGAGGACTTATATGTGGAATTTAATGAACACACTGAACTATCAAGCAAAATAGAGACAGACTATAGCCAGGGGTCGGGGAGCAGGGGTTAAGGGGATGAAGAAATTGAGCAAAAAAGAAAAAAGAGAGAACTCATGGACCTGGACAACAGTGTGGTGACTGCACTGGTGGCAGGGGATGGTTGGAGGTGGAAGAGGACATAGAGGGGGTAAATGGTATGGGGGAAATTTAAGTTAAAAATGTTCACAATACCCCAATTTCACCTGGCCTGTGTGGCTCATTGGTTGAGCACTGACTCATGAACCAGGAGGTGATGGTTCCAATTCCCAATCAGGGTAAATGCCTGGGTGGTGGGCTCCATCCCTAGTAGGACACATGCAAGAGATAGCTGGTGGATGCTTCTCTCTCATCATTGATATTTCTGTCTCTCTCTCCCTCTACTTTCTTTTCTCTGAAATCAATTTAAAATATATATATATTTTTAAAAATATCCCATTTTCAGCAATGGCTAGATCACTTAAAAAGGATCATAGACCATGATCAAATGGGATTTGTCCCCAGATTGCAAGGATGGTTCAGCATATACAAATCAATAATTGTGACACACCACATTAGTAAATGAAGATTAACATATGAACCTCTCAATAGAAGCAGAAAAATCATTTGGCAAAACGCAGCATCCTTTTAAGATTACAAGCCCTCAACAAAATGGGACCATACTTCAACATCATAAAAACTATATGTGAAAAGCCCTAAGCTAATATCTAAGATCAGGAAAAAGACAAGGGTGCCCCTCTTATCACTCATATTCAGCATAGTCCTGGAAGTCCTGAGAGGAATCAGGCAAGAAAAAGAAATAAAATACATTTACATAACAAAAGAAGAAGTTAAACTGTCTATGTTTGAGCACAATACCATCTTATATAGAAAACCCATAAGATTCCACATAAAAATGTTATATCTAATCAACCAATTCAGTAAAATTGAAGAATAAAAAATCAATCTAGAGAAATCTGTTGCATTTCTATATACGAACAATGAAATATCTGAAAAAAAATAATAAAACCTATCCCATTCACAATAGCATCAAAATCAACAAAATACTTAGGAATTATCAAAGAGTTGAAATATCTGTGGACTGAAAAATATTAAGACTTTGAAATGAAATTAAAGACATGAACAAATGAAAGTATATTCTGTATTCATGAATCGGAAGAATTAATATTGTTAAAATGTCCATACTATTCAAAGACATTTATATATCAATGCAATCCCTATGAAAATCACAGATATTTTCACAGAACTGGAAAAAAATAATCCTAATATTTTTACGGAACCACAAAGAATAACAACTAAAGCCATTTTTAAAAAGAAGAACAAATCTGCAGTCCTCATACTTACCAATTACAACTATGCTACAAAGCTATCATAATTAAAACAGTTTGGGACTGAAATAAAATAGACACAGAACCATGGAACAGAATCAAGATCCCATAAAAAAGCTCTGATATAGATGGTCAACTAGTATTTGACATAGGAGCTATGAATACACAGTGGAGAAAAGGGTAGGCTCTTCAATAAGTGATTTTGGGAAAACCAGATAACCACATGCAGAAAAATAAACTGGGACCCCATCCTTGATATATGATCAACCCCAATATCTGATCAAATCCTTTGTTCCCCATCATCCGCCAGCTGATATTTCATTAGCCCAGACCAACTTCAGCAAAAATATGGAAAGACTGTGTAGACCACATGTGTCAAACACAAGGCCCGCGGGCCAAATCCGTCCCGCCAGGCCTTGCAATGTGGCCCGCACCGCGCTGTCATCACTGCACTCCA